AATTGAAAGAATACCAAGGAGAAATAGTCAGAAAGTTAAAAGATGATCAAGAAGAAACATACAAAAATAAAAGAGACAGGAATTTAAGAGAGTTATTACAAGAACGAGAGATGAGCTTGAAGAAGAATTTCGAACAAAAATCAGTTTGATGGATGGCAAGAAAATGCAGAGAAAATTTATAACAACAAAATTGAAGAAGTGCAAAAGAACATGAACGAAATATAAGGGAAAGTTCAAAACTGAAGAAACAGACAAACTGACTAACAAATTCATTAACGCAATAATGAATTCGAAAATATAACAGACTTATCAATTATTAATCTAGCCTAACTCGCATTTTATATAGTTAAACTCGTTTCCTATATTTCAAGAAAGTTCTAGGCACTAAGACTGGCTCATTATTTGACGTTAAAATCTCCCTCTAGCTAAAGACAATACAATTTTTTTAAACTGAAAACCATGCATTATCCTACAACAACAGACGTTCGTCTTATCTGCACAGGAGTTGGGTCAAAAATTCTATCCGATAAATGTGAAGACAAATATATCAATCAAATGCTGAAAAGGTAAGTGAATTTGATATTTATTAATAATATAACGACACACACAACGAATGAAGGAAGATATAATAAGTAATGTTCATGGCAATCACAGATCTCACTATGAAAACTGTCATATGCATTACAACGTCAGATACCACTATCAGAGGAAGATGTGTAATGTGCATTACAACGTCAGATAGTACTATCAGAGGAAGATGTGTAATGTGCATTACAACGTCAGATAGTAATATCAGAGGAAGGTGTGTCACATGCATTACAACGTCAGATACTACTATCAGAGGAAGGTGTGTCACATGCATTACAACGTCAGATACTACTACCAAAAGTGTATCACATGCATTACAACGTCAGATACTACTATCAGAGGAAGATATGTTACATGCATTACAACGTCAGATGTTACTAACAAAGGAAGATGTGTCACATGTATTACAACGTCAGATATTGCTATTAAAAATGCGTCACATGCATTACAACGTCAGATACTACTATCAGAGTAAGATGTGTAACGTGCATTACAACGTCAGGTACTACTAACAAAAATGTGTCACATGTATTACAACGACAGATACTACTAACAAAAGATGTGTTACATGCATTACAACATCAGATGTTACTAACAAAGGAAGATGTGTCACATGCATTACAACGTCAGATACTATAATAAGAGGACGATGTGTAATGTGCATTACAACATTAGATGTTACTAACAAAGGAAGATGTGTCACATGCATTACAATGTCAGATATTACTGACAACGGAACATGCGGTGTTTAACATGCATAAGAACGTCAAACACCACAGACAAACGAATATGTAATACTTAAGAGATGCGTGACAATAACAGAAACTACTGTCAAAGGAACATTTAATGTCTAAAGACATGGCAATGACAGACACCTCTGATGAAAGAAATATTTGATATGTAAGGTGTATGAAAGTTAACAGGAGAGAGGACGAAATTTGCGTCTAATAATTTCTTCCGGTTTGTAAACGTTGACATAACAAGTACAAGATGTTAGAAGTTGTTTCATTATTCACCAATTGATGTGCGCACTCATATTCTACAGCAATGCACTTATAAACCATTCCTAAGTGGTTCCTAACCAAAAGGATTTCTGTTTAAGAGATGGACTGAAACCTCACATTTTATTCTAAAACAAACAAAGAGTAAAGCTAAATATTTGATTCTGTAATGTACATAGAGTTAAAATCTTTAGCCATAGCAATGAAAATAAGGAAACTGCTCTTTAAAGATGCAAGGAGTTTAAATCGGCCACATCTGTTCAATGTTGAAATAAACCCTTCTAACATAATGGATCATTTATTTCTAACCCAAGCAAGATAGTTTTCAGTAAGCACCACGAAACGTAATACCAACAAATATATATAAGACAGAAAGATGGATATATATAAACAGTGATAGGTAGATAGTAAATTGATAAACTTTGTATCAAAATTTTCAAGCAACAAATTCAATATCATAAAAGTATAGAATTAAACACCAAACATACACGTTTAATCACATTTCTTCAAAATAATTTCTAGTGAAATATAAAGATTCATTGAAACCTTCCAAAATAAAAAAATGTACCAATAGTTTCCATTGAAACGTTCCAAGATAAAATAATGTACCAATAGTTTCTATTAAAACCTTCCAAAATAAATAATGTACCAATAGTTTCTATTGAAACGTTCCAAGATAAAATAATGTACCAAT